GTAGCGTTTAATGGTGGCCTGAAGCAGCAGTTGTTGCCTGTTGTCAACACAAAATGCCGCCTGTGTGCGAGGAAATATTCAAAATCGAATCGTATAGGCCATAAGTGCAACGAAATGGCATGCACGACTATGAGTTACCTTGTTTTGAGCAAGCATTAAAAGAATTTCGAATTAGTGAGATTTTTCGATTGGAATAGCTCACATAAAAAACAAATAATTTTTTTGTTTATTATAGTTTTCTCCTCAATATTTGTTTAATTTTCTTTATTAAGCATTGAATTTATACACTTTTGATACCTTAACAATACAAGCACGACAAAGTTTAAGGAGTAATTAAACAAACAGTCAGATTTAAGAAAAAATTAAATTTATCCAAAAAATAAGAAAATAAAGTCAGACAATCGTACAAACAGGCATTTCTCCGGAAAATCTATAAGATTCAGCATTAAAAAAAAAGAAGATAATATTTTAAATTTGCTTGGCACTATAATTAGTCTGATCCCAACATAATTAAAAAAAAAAAAAAAACAAACAAAGAGCTAGACTTTTCTAGAGAAATGACCATATTTAAAATTTTTAAATGTTTAGTTTATTAATAGTCTTCTTGTAATCCACTTTTGTCTTGTTTTGGCCATGTTTACGCTTCGCTTCTCACTTCTGGTAAATTCTGTTTCTTTATTGCTTTTTCAATCTGTTAAACTTTTCTCTTTACTTTATATTTCGTGTCTGGAATCCCACATTTTCGCTACGCTTCTGGTCCGTGTTGTCTGATTGATCGATATGCTACAAGTTGCGTGCTTCTACTTTAATTCGGTTCTCTCTCTCTTTCGTTCGTTTAGCCTGTTGCTTGAATTAATATTTATATTATTCAATTGCTTCTTACCTTCTTCAGTTTTATTGATTATGGTCAGGTTGTTTCATGCATATCACTCACACATCACTTCTTCTGGTAAAAATTTACTTATCAACAGCGTCTGACCTCCCTTTGCCGACTGCAGTATAGGGTATAGCAGCAACTGTGGCGCCTGCATACAGCAAATATGTGTTGACGAGGTTGCCTAAAAGATGACAGGTTCAATTTGTGCGAGGGCCCGCAGCATATGCCTATAGACAGACCTCCACCAGCGGCACCAAACATTGATTTATGCATGTGCGTTTGTTTGGTTGAAAGCCAAAGGAAGGGCTGCGCAGGGGTCGGGTGGGGGCGTTCGGGGCTGGCGTTGCTTTGTGGATGGTCAGCACTGACTGATTCTGGACAGTTGTTAGCACTCGAAAGCTGTTGCGATGATTCTGATGTCCTTGTCGTGAATTACAAATTGTCATGGCGTTAAATTGAAAATGTCAGCAAGCACAATGAATTGTTTCGCCACAATGGGAAAAAAAATCGTACCAAATATTTGGCTCAATTTGTTTGCAACTGAAAGCCCTTCAGTGGGCATTTCATTAATAATTCAATGGGCCTAATTAATGCAAAGCAATTAACTTAATTTATAAGCATTGCACAGGCTCGAACACGTACAACAGCTCCACTCTGTGCCACTGACCAGGCCAATTATGACCGGAGAGGAGCATAGGCTGTTCTGATTGCTAATCCAATCGATGAGACGTTCTGCTTGCTGTCGCTTTCATTAGGTAATTCGAGTAAATCACTCCAATTGGGTACTTAGTAGTACAAGACTATTGTTATACCCTAAGCCAATTAAAAGTTAGTTAAATAGGGGTTAATAAGGGTCAAAGCATGATATGCATCAGCCTAACTTCATTAAACTTAAGGAATGTCTGGTCAAATTTGAGATATAATCCTTATGACATCCTAAATTTATTCCGGCATTCCAGCTGTTGAGCTGAAATCTCATTTATCTAATGAACCTCTTAAACCTAATAACAGTACAGGATATCTCATAGTTCCGTCTTCTTCCCACTACAATTCTAGGTGCTTCACTTGTGCTTCGGCCTTTAACTTGAGTGGCTAGCATTTGTTTGCTGCATTGTTTGTATATTAATATAATTAATTAGTTTGCTTGATTCAAGCCAAATTCTCTTAAATTATAATGCGAGGCGTTTCAGCGCGAAGCAAACAACAATACATAAAGCTTTAGAGACCAGCTGAAAAGCTGCGGTAGCTTTCAATAGGCTCACAGCTGATAAAGGAACTGTAAACGACAGCATCGACGAGAATTTACATTTAAAGATGTTCCGAACACCAATTTCACCACTCAAATGTAAAAGAAAACCAAACACGAAAGAAAAGTTGTTAATATAAAACGAAACTACAAAATGTTTAGTTCTGTTAAAAATTGACAACTTCTTTTCATGTGGTGTAAAAATTTTGAATGCAATAATGCAATAAATGTGAAAAAAAAATGTGTACTTCATTTAAAAAATTGTTGTTTTGTATGTATCTAACTAAATGTATTCAGTATATAATATTTATTTATTTTATATATCTGGTTTATTTTTTATATGAATATATATATTTATATTATTTTATATAATATATATACTATTATGGATTTTTACTTTGTACGATTTCTTTTGTAAATGTTTAAATCCTATTATTTGATTGCCTTTCAGCAAAGGCATATTAACTTAATTTACATGATTGTATAATTTTTTTTTAAGTTGAGGAATCGCTTTTCAGAACACTATCAATAAATACAACTTTTCACTTTTGTCGCGGTGGCAAACATTTGAGCCTCTAAATATGCAGCACACTTTTTTGTGGCATGCGGGGCCTCTTGACTTATGGCGATTGTGTGTGTGTGTGGGTGGGCGTGTATTTGTGAGCTTGGGGCAGCCAAGCGCAATAAATTCTCACAATTGATTTTGTGGTGGCTACGACTTCTCCATACGGCACACAGACCATGCTCCGCGACTTCTCTCTAGCAAAGTAGAAGGGAAATTTTTATTTATTTTTACTTATTTTGATTTGATGTTTAAATGTTTTATTCATGGAAGCAACGATGACGTCGACGACGGCGACTGCAGTGGAGACCCACGAAGTGCCATTAACATATTTAAACATTAAAACAAAAGAAAAAAAAGAAAAACAATTTAAAAATTCCAAAATGCTTTCAATGGAAATGCACACATACACACACCCATACACTCACAGAAAAAACTCGCAAGAAATACAAAACAAATATAAACCGAACATTTTTTGGCTGTACAATAAAATAAACAATTGCAGCACTTGGCCAGTTTTATTATTAACTTTCTAGATATTCTAGAAACATTTATTTGATATTTAATTATTTTAATTTAACAACATTTTTGTTGGTAAACAATTGATTTCCGTTTTGTTGCTGCTTTGTTTATGCGCCAAGCAACATGTGAATTGCCAGCGAGCCATAAAAGAGGAGGAGACGTAACGACGAGTCGAGAGAGAGGGGGGGGACTACTGGGAAGTACTGGAAAAGCTGCTTAGTCTGCGCCAATTGAGCGATAAGCAGCGCATTAACGACGGAAATTTATTGCCAGATTTCATAGTTGAGATGAGCTGCCAAATGCGCTGAAATCACAGCTGCTGTTGCTGCCAATGTTGCTGTGCTGTTGTCTTTGAAAATCGTAATTTCCGCTATGGGCGACACTCGACGAGGTCTCAGGGGCGTGGCGGCTAAACTTTCATTCTACTATGCTCAATGTCGAAACAATTACATAATGGTTATTTAGTCAGTTGAAAAGTAAGCAACCACACGCATACTCCCCTATGGGAGGCCATGGCAAGTCAGAAACAATTAACTTTAAAGGCTCAGACATAAATCCCAGCACAAAAGGTAGCCGAAAGTGTGCGTAGTAAGAAACTCGGGCAAATGCAAAGAAATACGTGAAAGCGGCATGAAAAATGGATGAGCCACACGCCATGATAAGCCATGCAACGGGAGCTGGGGCATGCTCAACAGTGGGTTGGCCAATGGTCATTTATCTTTTCTGACTAAACAGAATGCAAATCAGCTTAACTGGCTATATTATTACATTAAGTGTTAAGGTAGAGTTTCTAATATTAACTAAAATCTACATTTGTGTACTCAAAGTCTTGCTTCTTATGTAATTTGATCAAAATCAGTGATATAGATAATTAAAAATTGTACTTCTTTTTACATTGTTTACTTCGCACTGACTATTCACACGAAATACCCCAGTTAAAAACATTTTTCACTACAGGGTAGTCCAAACAATAGTGAGTTGCCCAAGTGTTTGCCTTGGCATGAGCCGCACTTGACATTGCCTGACGAGCAACTCATATACTACCCCAGCCACCCACACACACTCACCTACTCACACGCACGCATACAACGCCACACTAAGGCCAAGGGCTAAGTGCTATAAAACACAAAAAACTGTGCTTTGCTCTAGAATTATAATATTGCATGCTGATAAAACATTGAAAGCCAAAGCACCCAAGGGGATTACAATTAAAAACAACACATACATACACACACACACACATCTGAGATATGGACATAGCGCGGAAAGTTGAATTGGCGGAAATCATTTTGCGCATTATGTTCATTTGTATTTTTACACTTTGGCATGGCAGATAAAAAGCCAAAGCCAAAGCCAGCCACTTGCTAGCATGCCACATGCTGCCCATGCCAGAACTCTGCCCACCCCAAATCTCATATGCCATAGCCAAGGCTCAATTTTGAGCACATACTCAATATCATTCGCACACACTCGCACACACTCGCACACATGTGCCACTCTGCCCTTTGTTTCAGCTTTGTTTTGTTTACGGAATGCCTGGAAACGCAATTCAACAGTTTGTTGCTAGCAACATGTTGAGAGCTGATAGATATGTTGCGCCCCCATATGTTGCAGACGGCGCCTACGCTCATTCGCCCCGGGTAAGTCGTTCGTTCGCTCGCTCTCTCTGTCTCTCATTCTGTTGCTCTGCCTGTCGCCCTCTTTCTCTCAGCTCTCGCTCTTTGGCATTGCTCGGCCCCAAGGTGTGTTGAGTTTTTGGCTTTGATAAACCATTCGCCAGGCAACATTTCAAACAGTCTGCAAAGGATTCTAGACGTTAACGGTTCTTCTCTCAAAACCAAAAGCCTCGACAAATTCGTCTCGTGCGTTCGAACAGTTTAAATCGTATCAAAGTCTTTTTGAAACAGTGCTAAAAGTGCAAAACAAACTCAAAAAATAAGAAAAACTATAAAAACATTTGAATATAAACTGTTTGGAAAAATTCTGGGAAATTTTTTCGGCAGCTCTTTAAGTAAATATAAAATTTTATGTTATCAACACCTCGAAGCACAATTCAAATACTTTTCTATTCTTTGGGGACTTACAACGAAATAGTTTATGTTTATATGAAAATTTAATTGTGATATTTATATAATTATAGTGCAAATCTGTGTTTATCTGAAGAACTTAATTTCAGGGAAACTTATATTTATTATTAACTATTTCTCATTTCTATAGCATTGGAAGTGGGCTTTCTATGAATGCAATGTAGTTAAATTTTTGATAAATAAATACGAGAGTTTTTCACTGTTGGTTGTTCTGATACGTTAATAAATTCTCACATATATATTTTTATTCAACTTAATTCATTTCGTATATTGGTCATAAATTTTTACATCTTTTAGTTTATTACGTAGCAATCAAAAGGAAAACAGTTAAATATTAATTTGCAATAATGATTCGAATTATAGCACATCTGAATAAATCAGAAGCAATTGCATTTTCTAATTGCTCGGCGCTCACATAGATTCATGGCGCAGTCTTTGCCAATTGTCTGTCAGATTTGCGGCCAACAAAAGACATTAGATATGCAATTTTTTATAATAAATTGATGTTGCAGCTACCTTGATGACCGTTGCCAAAAAAAAGAAAAAAAGAAAAAAGAGAACAGAAAAGCTAGCGCTCCACAAGGTCGAGTCATACGAAACAGCTGCATGCTGCAAGGGCCAAGGGTTGAATTTCGGGGCCCGAGCCGGTTTGGAGGTGGGCGTAAAATCGAATGCAAATATTGCTGCGGCAATTGGCAAAACTTCGATATGCAAACAGAACAAGGCTCGGACCGTTCGACCCTTTATGTAAATTTGTTGTAAAGAAAGAAAAATATCAAAAAGTGCTGTAGCACTCGACAGTCGAAACACAAAAACAATAAAACCGAACAACAGGTCCAACAGAGAAGTCACATTAAAAATGCTTGAATTTCAATTAAAAAGGGTCCGACAATCATAAAAAGAAGCTGAACAAAAATGCCAGCAGTAATTTATATTCATATTACGTATACACAGCGGGCACCAAGTTCGCACTCATTTAATGATATAAACAAAACCAAAAAAAAAGAGGAAAAGTTGACGGTTAAAATGCCCCCAAAATTGGCGTCTGCAATGTTGTTTTTGTTGCTGTTTGTTGTGCTCTCGCCAAATTTAACATAATGTGCCCCCGAATTGTCCGTCTGCGCATCGCAAGTTCCTCGTCAGATGTCGCCTTTGTCACATTCATGACAGCCCCACCAAAAAGTCACGTTAATTTATGCCCATTCATAAATTCTGCCCTGCGACGAGGACACAGCCAGCCAGCCAGCCAGCGAGCCAGCGAGCCCCACTCTGTGTCCAAATTCTTTTGCATTTTGCGCGCGCCTCTGCGTATGCAACCAAATTTATCATCTCTTTGTGAGAGGGATTTGGAAATTTTATCATCGAAGTTGTTGATTTAAATGACGGAAATCGAGCTGAAATTGACTGATATTTATGGATCCACAGCCTGACGCACCAATGAACCAATCAGGCTTAATAGTGGGTATTATCTTCCTACTAGGCTTTGCATTTACAAATATAGACATCTACAGATATGTTATCTCAACGAAATATCGATTATATTTAATTGAATATATATTGAAGATTTTTTAATATTCAAAGATAGCTGCAGTTATAGTAGTAGTAATCGAAGTAGTGTATTGAAATCAGTACCTCTTCAAAGTAGTATTAAAAGAGAAAATAGTGGCAATATCAATTACGAAACAGTAGTAGTAGAAACAGAAGAATACATAGTAGTAGCAGTATATGTATTCGTATTACTTAAATAAGTAGTAGTATTATTGGGAATTAACATATATAGTTATAATAATATTAATACTATAACTCATTTATATTACTACGAATACTTATACTGCTACTGTTATTGACTGATAGTATAGAAAATACATGTTCATGTACGATTTCGTAGTATAAATAGTAATGGTAAAAATCAGTCGCAGTAAAATGTTGTTTTTATTCAGTATTTGTACAAATTGTAATAGTAGTAAATTTATTGCTGTGCAACCAATTTAATTATGCGGAAAATTGGTATACAAAAATGTATATGATATATATATGATATATACCTGACGTAAATTAACTTGTAACGTGGGATGGATTAACTTGTAACGTGGGATGGAAAAATTTAATTAATATCCGAAATAACTTATCTTTTATAATAATATTATTCAAAAATATTATTGAATCTTCTGATAGCTATAATTGCCATCAATATTTTTTCGTGGACTTATGCTTTTATAGAAATAATAAAATTTAAAATTGCAAATGCAAATTGCAACTCACTTGGTAAAAAAAAAAAAAAGAAAACTATGCAAACAGTATAAATTTTTTCAAAACTTAAAATTGAAATTTCTATATGATATGCATTTATATATTGTATATATATAATATAACTTTAGTATATAATATAAACTTTAGTAAGCAGAGAATCTGTTTAGGAAAAGACACAACAATTTCTCATCATTTATTTAGTTAAATGTTTTAAAATAAGCAAAACCATGTCGACTTGACAGCTTTTCTGGGAAAAGCATTGCACTTTCTTTCTCGCACACCTATCGTTGGCTCTGCGTTGATTCAGCAGTTCCACCTACAGCCGAGCTGCTAATTAGCTGTGTCAAGGGGTACAACACGTACAATTAAATGACAATAAAACATACTGAAAAGAAAATGGTTATCGTTAGATGAGGATATGTAAGCGTTGCAAGCGGTGGGAAATCGGAATTCATTACAATAATAAAAGTCAGCAACAATTCAATTTAATATTAATTTGCCATTTCACTTGATTTATTTGCACAGTCAACCTGAAGGGGGAAGTCGAATGGAAAATGTTTTACATGCTTTTCATTCTTATTATTTTGCCATCGTCTTTGCAATTTCCTTTGCTGCAAATGAAATAATTAAAATAACACAAATGCTCGTGCTGCACACATGGCGTATGCTTGTTATTGTTGTTGGCTTGTGGCATGTTTTCTTAATTTAGGCAAAGCGTGGGCTCATTCCGAACGCTTTGTGGCAATAACAATTGCCACAGAAATTATCAAAATAAATATGGCCACAACAATAGAAACAATTCTGCCCTGACTGGCTGACAGAGGCCAGGAAGTCAATGGGCCATAATTTGATACAAGTACATAAATATGATGTTCGCTTCAAACATTTTTATGGCAACAGCCGCAGAGGCAGCGGGTGTCAAAACATCTTTAATCTGTTGCTGATTGAAATATTTGCGTAGCTGTTATTTGCTTCAATGTGTGCACAATTATTTGACTTGTGTAAATATTTTCAAACATTTTCAACTCATATCCAAACAGCATGATCCAGCTGAAATGCTGTGAAACAATCTATGATTTGTTAATTGCGCGTGCTTAAACATAAAATTTTAATTGCCAATATGTTGATGGAGAGAGAGCTAACTGAATAGACGTGAGATGTTGCTAAATACTAAATCGAAAGAGTTACTTCGCACTAAAAATCAATATTAAATGCTTCGTATATTCTCTTCAAGCTTCAACTGAACTCAATGCATTTTTATGTGGCATAACTTGCATCGACTTATTCAATATAGTGTTAAATCGCTTAATAAATTATTTAAAAAAAAAAAAACCTTACTCGTGATTAATAATACGTCTGTAATGTACATTACAGAAGAAATAGGGCATTCTTATAAAAAAAATGAAGAACAAATTATTTATCATGAGAATAATAAAATTGCTTAATATTAAATTACTTTTATTGTGCATTATTCAAAATATATTTATATATGATTCCTACAATATGAGATGTAGTATTCTCGCAGTCCATGCACAATTGTTCACTGCATTTTTGGTTTATATATTATATATTTATATTTTATTTTACTACTATATTTAAGTATTTCATAAGCAAAAGCTGCCTTAACTCCGTGACTTACGTCAGCAGGTGTCGGGAGAGCAGGGACCAAGGCAAGCCAATTAGAATTAACCGAAAATAGTCAGCTCAAGTAGGCCCCAGTGTAACCACTGTAATTGTCATTAGGCAAATATTGTTATGCTCTTCAATTGGCTGCCACTTGAAAAAGGCAATTTGAAAGTGCTAATTCAAGTGAGTACGCCCACACAGACACCTACACACATACACATGGTAAACAAGCCCACAGGAATTTTCCAAAAATTATCTTTGCGTAATGTGAGGGGTGCGTAAGGCTGAAAAAGTGAAAGTGAAAGTGAAAGTGCCATTAAGTAACTTTCACGCCTAACAATAATAATTCGAATAATTACAGTCATGTCGAGGAGGCAACGAGTGTTGCCATTTGCCTCGGGGCGGGCCAAATATTTGGCCAACATATTTGAAGAGCAGTCAACAGGGGCAATCAGTATAAATTTGTGTATACCCTGTGAATATAAGACTAGCTAAAAACTGAGCACAGCAAGTCAGAGAAACAAACGAGGACAAAATTTAGTCGAGCATATTAAAGTGAACGAAATTTTCCAGCTCTCAGAATATAAGAGATAAGAAGTACTCGAAAGATAGAGGTTTTATTGATTGATTATACAATAATAATACAAATGAAATTGAGATTGTAGAAGCCTGTGCAGCTCAGGCTACCAAGTCGAATCGAGAGCATCTTTTAGTCGATCACTCACTGATCCAATTGAACTCTAGGTATTTGATGCTATTCTTTTGTTGATTTATCATGTCTGAGTGTGGGAGAAAAAGTACGGAAATCTTTCAGCACATCCATTGCTTGCCAGATATCCAGCTGCTTTAATTATGCCGGCCTGGCCATTATTATTTATTATTATTATTTCTTCTTGATTAATATTTACACAGAAGCGCATAAAAAACGGGCGACTGTGTAAATATTTACAACATTTGCGCGTGTCTTCACTTTATGATGGGGCATTAGTTGGTCAATATATCAAGCTGATGATATACAGTTGGAGAGCCGTGGAGGAGGCTAATCAAC